AGAAAAATGGCTCTTTTGAACTAAAAGGTTGCAGACCCCTGCCCTGGGTGTACATTCTAGAGTGCTCAGTGCAGAAACAATATGTATTTATACATCTAAATGACATAAAGGGGTCTAGTAGCCCTATATGGGTTACACTAACAATGACATTATTGTTCTATTAATATAAAGGGAGGTCAGGTACTCTTTGAAACAGTTGGTAGTTATGGGTACTTTTTACTGAAGTACATTTCAAAGCCCATACTTCTTTACTTTTACTTGCGTAAAGAACTTTAGTCAGTACTTCTACTTTGACCAGAGTATTTGTAAACACGAGTATCTGTACTTCTACTTGAGTAAAGGATGTGTGTACTTTTGCCATCTCTAGAGTTGGACCCCCCCTGACGACATCCTCTCCTGGCCGAAAGCCTCAGTCAATATCTGAAGGTGTTAGCATTAGATGTATTTAATAGTGCTCATGTGTTTCATTGTTGGTTATGCTACTGCCTGAATATGCTGAATGAAAGGCAGGTTTTCCACAATCATTTCTGATCATAAATATCTAGTTTAGTTCTTTTCTAAGCTCACATTGTTGTGGTGTCTTAAAAATACACTTCAGTAAAACACATCTTATTGCTAATTCTTTCTTCTTGTGTTTATCTGCATTGCATTTGATATTGAGGTAATCCAAAAGTAAAGGAAGTAATCAGGTTAGGTTACTTAGATTACACTTTTCTTAAAAGGTTACAAGTTATTGTAAGGGATTGCATGTTTATTTGATTCACCTAGAGATGTGTACGGTGGAAAACTTGAACTATTTCATCATTTATATGTCTTCCAACCCCAAAGGGGAGAAGAAGCAGATCAGGTGAAACAAAGGACTGAGACATTTTCATTAAGCAGAGAGCACATTTTCCTGAACAGGCAGCAAAGGATGAATACTTTATTATTTTGTTGACGAGTACAAGCAATCTCCAATAATTCGAAGGACAAAGAACTGGTCAAATAAAAACTGTATTTAACGTCAAATAAACTATTTGAAAAAAAAAGAAAAAGGTGTTTAAACCATGGAGACAGAAGAGCCAAAAAGGTATAACAACCTGAACATAAGAATAACAGGGCCTCTTTAAACTCAATTAGGAATGAAAATGCAGATGAAACCCAAGAAATGGAGCTCAGATATGATAATGTGGAACTTTTTGTGAAAGTGTTTAATATTCAGCAGTGATAGCCCTCGAGCTCCATCCTGTCACATGAAGTGCGACGCCAACAAAACAAAACCCAGAACAGACCGAAGCTTTAAAACAGATCGGCGGGCAGAATGAACAACATGCCAGAGAACAGACGATGGGAGGAACCACATGGTCTGTTCATCATAAAAATCCTCTGCAGCTACACGACACGCTCCGTCACCTCTGCACACAGCTTCAAACGCTCAGACCTGTAATCTCTTTTCCAGTGTTAAGGCACAAACTATTGCTCTGTTAATACAGGAATATAAATGATCTTTGGTTACTGCAATGTCATTTAAACAATCATAACATATTAAAGGTGCTGCTGCTTTGAATGCTATTAAACAAACTGTAGAAACTTACATTTTTTAGGTTTGTGCATCATAACTCCCAGAAGAGTGAAAGAAATAAAACGAACCAACAGAGAACGGAGCACGCAACCTGCAGCAGCAAAACTCTAAAAGTAAGCCTTTCAAAAAGTGCACATTTTGTATCTTAAAGCCACATCTTTTTACATTTGGGAAAGACCGTGTTACATCAAAGAGGTTTTTGGTTTCCAGCTGAGAAACAGATTCAACTTAAATAAACTAAACGGTTTGAAAATGACAGTAAAGTAAAGTAAAATCACATTTATGAAACATGATTACAGTGCTTAAAGGGATAGTTTGACAACATGTTATATTACTGAAAGTTAGATGAGAAGATTGACACCTCTGTTTTCTAAATATGGAGCTACAGCTAGGGGAAGGTTAGCTTAGCATAGAGACTGTAAATTGCCCTGTAAAACGGTTAGCCTAGCTTAGCATAGAGACTAGAAATGAAGGGAAACTGCTGGGCTCTCTCCATTGGTAATACATTATCAGAGTAGTGTTACATAAAATCAATGTCTTATCTTTGGTTTGCTTTGGATAAAAACCGACATACATATTTTTTATGGTCGGGCAGATGCATAGAAATAAAGCTACAGCTAGGAGACGCTTAGCTTAGCTTAGCATAGAGACTGGAAATTAAGGGAAACTGCTGGGCTCTCTCCATTGGTAATAAATTATCGGAGTAGTGTTACATAAAATCTTATCTTTGGTTTGCTTTGAATAAAAACCGACATACATATTTTTTATGGTCGGGCAGATGCATAGAAATAAAGCTACAGCTAGGAGACGGTTAGCTTAGCTTAGCATAGAGACTGGAAATTAAGGGAAATTGCTAGCATGGCTCTGTAAAGGGTTGTTAAAAATCTGAGTGCCATTACATCAAGACCTTCATAATCAACATGTTTTATTTTTGGTTTAGTCTTCTTTTAAAACTCTTATTATTTAAAATAAGTTTGGGGGGGTATGCTGGAGTATTTCTGGGCCAGATGCATTCAGTCTATATAAAAATAAACGATAAAAAAGACGTAAATTCTCCCATGTAACTCTTTCTTATAGGGCTGCAACAAACAACTTGAATTTTCTATAATCTCACCAATGACTCAAGATGAATGGTTTGCTATTGAAAAATGTCCACCCCAGCTTCTCAAAGTCCAAGGAGATGTCTTTTGATTTCCTGTTTTCTCAATGAAAACGTAGGGATATTTAAAATTGACTAATTGTTGCAGCTCTACTGTAAAAAAGTAAATATATGTATTTACTAAAATGTCAAACTATTCCTTTAATGTGCCACTGCTATAACAGCTTTAATGAGTCAGAATGAGCATAATTACTGGTAGATTGTTGCTGTATAATAGCTTTTTTGGTGTATACTTATAATGCATGATGAATAAAGTTCTCATAATTCTTCAGTGGAATGTACTGCAGGACAGGTCAGCTGTAAATTCGATAAACAGTCTTAAAACAATTAGCAAACAAATGTTCGCAAATCCAGCAAAAAGACTGCAACGTCCCCCGAGCCATGACACCGACCTGCTGATTTATGTAAAGATAAAACTCTTTGAGAATCTGTACTGTGAAAAACATAAAGTCGCTCTTCTCAGGAGTATAAAAACACTGATTAAAGGAAAATAAACTCCTTAAAAAAGGCAGCTGTGGAATAAAACAACTACTGAGATGCATAAAACAAAATCCAGGATTTACGAACAGGAAGTATTCCAGTTCTTCCATTATAAAAAACATCCAAAATATAAAGTACCTATGTGTCTCTCTTATAAAAGAATCTCAATAAAATTAGATTTTTATATAAAAACTAGCGTGCAAATTGGAGTCTGAGCATCATCTTTAAGACATCAGGAGGTTTGATCGGACTTCAGTCTCTCCTCCGAGTTCCTCGAGTATTTGACGCAGAACGAGTCTCCGTCGGGGGGAAACTGAATGCCGTCTGACGGGGAGAGCAGCGGCGTGGAGGTGATCCAGGAGGAAGCATCTAAAGTCTGATCCAGGCAGTCTTTGGAGGCAGGAGGAGCAGCGTCTTTGGTATAAGGCAGAGTGTCTTTATCTGCAGAGGGGAGCTCCTTCTCACTGTCTGTGTGCAACACCGGCCCGCTCCTCTGCTGCTGCTGCTTTTTATTGCTAAATGAAGTCTTGCCGAGTGACAGGAAGTGAGGCTTAGGGCCGAGTGGCGACCCCGCCTTGACCCCGCTGAGGCTCAGGATGTTTCTCCGGGTTTCGTAGGGGAGTTTATCCAACTGCCTGCCGACCTGCACCGGGCTGGGGAACAGCGTGCCCTGACACGCCCTGTAGAAATATCTGGAAGCAAAACAGAGACACGCATTAGACAGAAATACTCCTCTGCAAAACATCTCAGAAACTTCTCACAGCAATAACTGTAGCCAGGGAAGTAAAAATGATCAATTTACCACTACTTTAATCTATTTAAGAGGACATATTCTGTTCATTTTCAGGCTCATATCAGTATTTAGTGTCTCTCCTGTGACATGTCTTCATGCTTTAATGTTCAAAAAGCGCTTTATTTTTCTCATACTGCCTCTTTTCACCCTCTGTCTGAAACCAGACCCCAGACTGCTCTGATTGGTTAGCTGGCCGGCTCTGTTGTGATCTGTCAACCACCCGCCCCTTAGCCTTATCACGTACAATGTGTTGGAGCACTAGCCAATAGAAGCACGAGTGTTCATTAGTGATGTCCCTATGTTTTGGAAGTAAACAAAGATCACACTAAAGGGAAGTGAAAACCCCAAAAAGAAAAATAGGGCCTGTTTAAAATAAGAACAGCATTACTTCGAACAGTAAAAATATGCCGGCTCTTTGGATAAACCTGAAGAACATCTGGTGCAGAGAGAGCTTGTTGCATGGTTCATAACTTAGAATTAAATAACTAAATAAATCTGAGGAACAGGGGAGTGGGTATTCAGTGAGACACAGATGGGGGGGGGATACCTGGGCAGTAGAGCGGCTGCAGGTGTGATCACACACAGCAGGTAGAACAGGGGGTCCTGCAGCAGGCGCTGCATGCTCCAGTAAGGGTTGGAGGGGGAGTAGCAGGTGGGGCAGGAGGCGTTGTAGCACAGCGCCACGGTGAAGAACAACGAGATGCTGAAGCAGATGCAGAGCCAGTTCATCCACGTCTGAGGGAGAGGACACGGAGGAGGGGTATTAGCTTTGTATTCGATTAAAATACACCAGGATGGACATTCAAAGCCTTAAAACAAGAAACAAAATGTCTGAATGTGTCGGTCGCATAATTTAGAATGAAGGACACAAAAACTATCACACAAAACTGATTTAAAGAAAACCTACACGACGTTCCCTGAAGCACTTTTTACCTTTTTCTTTTGCACTTTTTATTCATTGAAATGGTTTGTCCATACATATATTTGGGGTAAAAGTTTGAAAATACATGTATTTTACTAGATGACTTAAATCCAAAAGTAGATTACATGAATGACATCAAAAAATGTAAAAGGTAAAAATATATATACAGGACTGTCTCAGAAAATTAGAATATTGTGATAAAGTTCTTTATTTTCTGTAATGCATTTAAAAACAAAAATGTCATACATTGTGGATTCATTACAAATCAACTGAAATATTGCAAGCCTNTTTCTACTTCTTACATTTTCCAAACAGGCTGGTTCCTTTAGTTTGAATGTGTGTTTGGTGGCGTGATCATTTAGAGTCATTGCGTGCCTATTGATTTGATTCAAATCAATAGGCACGCAATGACTCTAAATGATCACGCCACCAAACACACATTCAAACTAAAGGAACCAGCCTGTTTGGAAAATGTAAGAAGTAGAAAGTAGCCTACAGATATTTGTGTTCAAAATGTTAAAGTAAAAAGTCGTCAGAAAAATAAGTAGTGGAGTAAAGTACTGATACCAGAAAAATGTACTTAAGTACAGTAACAAAGTATTTGTACTCCTTCCCACCTCTATCCAACTCTCATCGGACATTTCGACCCTGAACCACAGCGTCCTTCTGTTGGCAGGTCATCCTCCCCTGGCTTCCAGCACAACTCTTCGCCTGTTCCAGAGCCAACTCTCTTTCCACTGCCTCCCTCAACCTAAGGCAGCTGTTTTTGACTCCCTACTAGCTATTCCCAGAGCATCTTCCACACAGATTGCACTGTGAAGCCCCTGCAGCCAACCTCAACTGGGAAAGGCCAGGCCTGCCACCCTTTGTCCCTGCATTGAGGGATCAGGTCCTGGTACTTGGTGGCATGTCTTACTTACACATATTACAGTTTTAGTTTAATACACACAGTAAGGCTCACACACACTATTTAATGAACATATAGGTTCACCTGCTGAATTGAACCCGGAGGAAATGAACCAAAGAAAGTGAAAAGCATAAAGCAGATTCAGGCAGGAGGAGTAGATTCACAAGTATCCTACAGAACAGTACAGCTGACAGAGATAACATCTGATCCTTTTACAACAAATATGCTCTTTTTAGGGTTTTACTAACACTGTAATCCTGATAGTAATCTAACGTTTTTATAAATGTAGCCTGATTTGTTTTATGTAACTCTAAGGAAATACAGTTACCTTGTTTAGTCTCCTGATTAAATGCAATCCTGGTCTTTACATGGTGTGTGTGTATAATCTGCGATGTCGTGGGGGGGGGGGGTAATTAATGTTTCTTCTCTGGGTGGAAAGGGACGGGCGAGGCTCTGCTGATGCTGCCTTTGTTACAGAGCCACGCTGCACTTTTATTCCGGTGTGAACATGGAGATAATGATGACTCCTCCGCCCTCTCTGCTGCTGCTCAGTCTCTTTTAAAGCCCGGGTGTAACGCAACCCAACGATCAGCTGTTTTTATCTGCAGACCCTGTGTAAGAGAGGGACTTCTGTGCCCTTGTGCATAGCGTTTACGTTTGCATAAACAATATGTCCCTGCTCTCAGTGGCTTTAGATAAGCAGCACGTGCAATAATATGGATTTTGTCATAGGATTGATACTATAATAAAACAGGCTCTTCTCTGGACATCCTCACAGTCCACTTTTCTTTTCTCCAATGGGGAAAAGACTTCGTCCATCCATACAGGGACCGAAGTAGTAGCGTAACTTGTATTACATTAAACGTTTATACATCGTTGTTAGGAACTGTTATGTCCCTCCTATGACCAACGAACAAAACATGGACCAAGGACCATGAGATTACATTTTATTCGTTTAAACAGGGAGACGTAGCAAACATCTGCAAGAGACGCTGAATGTGTTGAACTCTCTATGGTTGAACTACAGGAACAGAGCACTACACTGGGACATATGATTCAGGAGATATCACAGTATACGTGCATATTGGGAGATCAATTATTCATGATATGCCGACGTTTGGTTAGCATTCAGTTAGCATAACATTAGCCACATTACCGCTGTCCACGTGATTCTATAGCCTTCAATAAACCTGTAGATCTGAGGGTCCTGTATCCCCCCATTTGTAAACTTGACATGGGCCTTCGAATATTTCATATCTTTAAATTGCTGACAGGTGTAGACACTAACTCCAAACACCAGAGAGGACCGACATCAGTAACAGTGATTGGTCGTTCTTCTCTTAAGGGTCACCTATTATGCAAAATCCACTTGTTCATGTCTCCTCTACATCACCATGTGTCCCCTCTGTGTAAAGAGATTCTGAAAGTTTCTGGAACAAAGATTCTCCCTCTTTTTGTCCTGATCCATTTCTATAAAAACCTGTCTGAAAATGAGCTGATCAGATTTGGGCAACTTTATGATGTCATAACGATGTGTTGTCTTTTGTAACCATTAGCCAATCAGCAACCAAGGTAACCCCCCCCCCTTATCACCTGAATCTCCTCCTAGAGCACCATTGAGTTATTTTTAACCAAATATCTCTCAGAGGGCGTGGGGAGGGCT